TCTGTTTGGGAAGCTGGGGAGATTAAACAGTGTTTGTGATACTTGTTAAGTATTTCTTGACAAAATACTTCAATGTGATGAGATTTTGTACTAGAAAACAAAGGTATAGCCCATCACTACATTAGTTAAAACACACTGTGTCTCACCAATTGCAGCTCTGAGAGTCATCAGCCATTCTATTTATGTCAGAAAGGACTGTTATGAATCTCTGTTGTAAAATGCCTCATTTCATTCAAGTTACTCTGCAGACCAAGTCCCTGTTGCTCACAAGCATGAATGAACTCTGATATAGTCCAAGCAAGAGCATTGTATTCTCAGGCTGGCTGAAAGGTAGCAATAATGGACTTGCAATACTCCTCTCTGGTCTAACAGCCAGAGTGAAACAGCTTAACTTCCCTCCCTTAATCACTGCCAAGCTTGTTTCTAACTATGAATATCTGTCTTCCTTGAAATCCTATTCTAAGAAGGGAGCAGAAACTTTGTGTAGAAATCACAGGTTAGCACTATGGTAAACTCATAAAACACTGATGGGTTCTGTGGCTTGCTGAGACCACAGGCACTTTCACATCACCATGTCATGATTGTGCTACAGTTATTAGCAATCCAAAATTAAAATACTTACTCTGAAAATGGCTCATTTTGCTGTTTCAGGCTGTCAAATGAACCTGTAGGCAGGCAATGATATTTCACTGGGGGCTGAAGGTGAATGGAAATGGAATCAAGCTGAATGCTAAATTTAACACTATCCATACAAAACCAGGGTCTCTGAAACCAAAACAGATGAATCTTGCAATGAGTAAGTATTGGATTAGCAGCCTGAATGCTTCACCACTCTCATCTTTCTTACCAATATCATATAAAGAAACTCTCCCTCTTCAGTTCCTGCTTTTCACATAGGTGCTGAGTAATCAGCTCCAGACCAGACTGATGGTGGATAGGTAGCAATGAAATCACCTTATTAATACGGCATGCAGATTTTAAGGGTCAAAATATTAATTTAAAGTATCCTGGTTTTTCTTCAGGAAAAGACTACCTAGCTTGCAGTATATGAGCCTTCATCCAATTTTACCTTTGTGTTACAGTGATAGGAAGGCAATTTGCCACTGCCACTTCTACTAACCTATCTTCAAATCAGAAGTGAATGGACTAACAGAGCTTCAAGGACAGAGTTAGCTGAACCTTCACTAAGAGTTTCAATGAGATTAATTGACAGGATTTTTTAAAACTCCCTTTGACAACCTGACAGCAAGTTGAAACAAGGGACTGTTCTAACTCTGTTTTCTCTGTGTTTATAAAAATGCCGGACACAGCACTCCACAGTGGGGTGGGAAGCACTGGAGCTGACAAGTTGCTCCTACCCCAGGCAGAGTAGGGTGGTATATGGAAATCTTTACCCATAGGATGAATAGAAAGGAAGCCATGAAAGCTAAAAGCAAACATGCCCCAGCAAATGGCTCTTTTACTGCAAGATAGCCACTCTTGGAGAGCATAGAAACAACAGGATGTATCTGCTGGTACCTGGACACAGCTCATTCACCTAGCAGCAAAACATGTTTAAAGATCTTAATAGTAAGAATGCAATAACCTCCATTTTTGCCAGGTAATGACTTCCTAATATGAAAAAAAAAAAAAAAAAAAGGTTTTCTTTCTTGTTATTTTTAAATTCATTACACTTTTTTATTTTTCATTAAAATGTTTTAGAGATGAACACAGGAGATGCCTTAGAAGAAAAAAGCTGTTTGGAGGATCATTGCTTGCAGAGAAGAGGAGCTGTGAACACTTTTACACAAGCAACCTGTGTATTTCTATCACATTTTGCCAGAGTAGAATTCAATCTGAGTACATTGTCCAAAGAGGGTTGATGGCAGGCAACAAATTCATTCCCTATTCCAGACTTTTTATTCCAACAAGTTCATTTCACAGGATAGTTAACAGATCCTCTCATGATAAGGATGACTGCTCAAAGCACTTAGAGTGATGTTGTTTTAATATCAAATTTATACTGAGGTGGTCGACACAAGTAGTGCCATACAAAGTAGCTTACTAAGGCTAGAGGAGTGGAATAAGACATGAAACCTAATATCAGCATTCCTCTGTTTCTGAAAGTCCAATGAAATCTCTTGATGCTGTGGTTATTTTTCAAATACAATGCTTTCACACATCATTTTAGTTACAGTAAATGTAACTATATTTGCAGATTAATTTGCTGGGTAAAGATTTAACTTTTAAACTATTCTTTCCATTTTTGTAGTCCTTACACCTAACACATTCCCACTGATATTTATGTGGAATAAGATTATTGCAATTTATGTCTTTGCAGGGAAACCACCTGAAAGGAGGAACACAAATCATTTATCACCAGTTCAATGCATATGTCCTGATTTTATGTGGTATGTAATTGTTTACATAATAAATATTTAAAATGTAAGGAAATTAAATATTATACAAAGCTACTACAGAAAAAATATTTTCAAGCATTAATGATGAAAGTCAAAGAAAGTTCAACTTTTCCTCCTGTTTTCCAGAAGTGCTTTTGACTCAGCTTTTGAACTCATCCTAGCTGTTTCTGCAACCACCATTGAAAATCTCCTTTCTCTCCTGCCATAGAAGTCCTTTAAACTTCAGTACTACTTGGACCCATTGAATTCTTTTCCATGTCACCAGGTATCTAAATGTAACAGAACACCTACTATGTATGGTTTGTCCCAATTATTGGAAGTCGTGAGTATTGTGATGGCTGATTCATGAACCACATCTTTAACAGAATGAGAAAAATATTAGCTCAATTAATTTGGTTTAAAGTTCTTTCTGCAGCCTTTATTTTCACAAAGATATACACACACAGTCCCATGTCCCTTGGTCAATAGAGAATGAGTCACCCGTCATTATGCTGCTCACACTTTCACCCTTTAAACTTGCATTAGCAATTAAAAAGTATTAATTGAGCATGTGGATTGTACTGAAGGTCAAGACTCATTTTAACTCATATCTAGATATTTGTTAGTAGCAACCACTGAATTGTACAATAACTAGGGTACCTATGCCTAGTGAAAAGGAACATTGATTGCTTTTGCCAATATTACATTGTTGGACCAACTGTCAGTAAACTGCACTTTCCTGTCACCATGGAAGAGGAACAGTGCAGAAAACTGAAGTGTCAGTTATGGCTACTATGCTTTGTTTAAAGCATGTGGAGATAAGAACACTTTGTCTCAAAATAATTATTAGGTTTTGGAAGTTTCCCTGAATTTTGAGAGATCGCTCGCAAAGAGACTCAGCCAGGTATCATTTGGGGCTCTTTCAAGTATATGGAAGTTTGTCCATGAATAAATTTCCAAATGCTCCCATGTATCTAAAGTGGTTGTGTTCATAGCCCAATTTGTTTAGTGTTCAAATTGCATGTCCCCCCATCAAACCCTGTGAACAGAACAGGTGCTGAGTAGAGAAACAACAGTTTTAAGTTTCAAATTCGCAAATGGCTCCTGAGATTTTGCAAAAGCAAAAATCTAGTTCTGGGCATGGTAATTAGTAGAGAGACACCTGGATTTGTCAGCCAAGCATTCATACTCTCTATTAAATAGTCTGCTTGCAATTGCACTTAACTTGCTCACTGAGCATACAAATGTCAATCCACAACAAGCAGTATTCTGTAACTGCTGCTCATCCCAGTGATGACCAATAGAAAGGAGTGACAAAAACAAAAGAGTCTGCTATGAGATCTGTGATCCTGAGTTCTGCCAAAAACACCACAATAGGTAGAAAAACACCAAGGAAGGGGGGGTGGGGGGGGAAAGGGTGGGGGGAAAATGCTTACACAGCCACAAGAGGGACACATGGTCATGAGAGGTGATCTTTATGCATTCAACTAGATGCAAATTAGTTGGTCTGTTGCACTCCAAGAGAAAAGAAAAATCTGTATACACACTGACTACTTCTATCTTATGCCAGAGTCAAACCAAAACTGTTGACAAATGTCAGCAACCACATGAGATGCTGAGCAACAACTCGAAAATGCCTAAGAGACCACGCCTTCTCCCTTCTCTATCTCAGATCAAATGAGTTTACATCATTACATGAATCCTGACAGGCAAGTGCCGTGTTTGAGTTTGACTAGAACTACGGTAATGGTGCTAGAAGACTGTTGAACAGCTTCCAACACCTAGATTAGCAAAACTATGAAGACATTCTTACATTTTTAAAAAGTTCATGGCCTCAGTTATGCTGGAATATTAAAGTTCTCTGTGGGCATCAGTTTGAACTTCTGTCACAGCTACTTCAGGACAACTATAGCAACTGAATCATGAAGAATCTGGGGGAAAGCAGAATCCCAAAAAAAGCCTGTGATTCATTCTACAGTGTCCTGTTTCTTCAGGGGGCGAACACTATTACCAGCACTCATGACAGTGAGCAAGCCTGACTCGTCAATATGATTTTTTCCAACTCTGAACTCAGAAACCTGTAAGAAATCTTACTCATGCTTGTGGGCTTAGAGGTTGGTAGAACTGATAGAGAAACTGTTGGAGTTTAGCAGCAGCTGTCCTCAGAACTAAGGGAAGTATCCAATGAATTTATTGTTTAATAAATTTTCATGTTCTCTGGTTAGCTTGGGTCAGTCCCCACAGGAAACCTTCTGCACCTAATTCAAGAGGCTGATATTAATTTTATTTTTAATAAAATATTTTTTAAGTATCTAAATTAACAGAAGCAACAAAGCACTACCTCTGTCTGTGCTTCAGGAGTAACAGTTATGTACGACACAGTTATGTTTTCATCTCTTATTCTGTATTTCTTCAGAATACATCCAGTTGTCAGACTTTGAAAAAATGAAGAAAAATTAGATGAAGGAAAAGGAAAAAAAAATACTTTTCCTGTAAATAGCATGGAGCTTATCCAATAAATCACTACCATAGCACTACTTCCCTCCTTAGTGATATTTTGGTACTGACAATGCAGTGCAAATTAAGAGAAGTAAGCCTTTCTGCAGACAGAAGCATACTTACAGAGTTGGACTAAAGCCTCATCAGGACAATAAAGGAGCTCCTCTGGAAAATAAAAAATATATATAACTATAACAGACATTTAAAAGGAATATATCTCCCAGACATATCACCTTCCTTCACAAATGGAGACTGCAGGATAATCTATGGACACTAGGCATTTGCCACTCCTATTGGCTTTCTCAGTTTGTTCTTCAGACAGGCTGTGACTGTCAGGAAACATTAACTGCACGTGATCCCTTTGAACTGTAAAGGAATGTGGAAAGCAGCAGCAACCAGGGCCCTTTTGTCTACCCACTGAAATAAGGCATGACCTTGATGTCACAAGTCTCTAATTAATTCTCAAAAAAGCAAGTTATATATACACACCTAGCCCAATATATGACAATTAAGAAGGTTTCCAGCTGTAAAGCTCAAATATCAAGCTACTCACAACTGGGTTGAGTGGATCTGAGAATCCTTTAGAGTCAGCATCAAGCATCACTGATGCACAAGCAGAGCACTGTTTGAAGAGATTTGTGCTTAATCTGCAATTAAAGGCTTGAAACCCATAAAATAGAAAGGAGGAGAGAAAGAAATAAAGCTGGTCTGCAGGCAAATAGATTCCAGCCTACCTGCTTTTTGTACTTCTGTCCATAGTTCTGGAAGCTGGTGCTTTGCTGTGCTGATGAAACTGTCATTGAATTGATTGCATCAGTTGCTAAGGAAACCAAAGGGATGATGCTAATGGATACTATTTATGACACTGAAAAGCTTAGAGAATGTTTGCCATGAAAAGATAACATCACAAGTTAGTTACAAGCTACCTTGAGTATTAGCATAGAAAAGAGAACTAGATAGGATTTTTTTCCTTTTTTCCCTCTGACACTTTTAAAAAAAATCAGATACTTATGGCTTTATGCACTCCAGCTGGTCTGACCTCTCAGTATCACTTCATAGTAATTTTTCTACCTTTATTTCAAAACACTGAAGTTAGCTCAAACACAGAGTCATTCTAATTCTAAGCCGTGGAGCCAAGGATTTTTTTAAAAGCATCACACATGATGCAAAATAGAATTTTACTTTGGGAATGCTGACCAGAAGACAGAATTTTTGAATCAAAGACATTTGATTTGAGATTTGTCCACCTTTGCTCTTATGAACGGCAAGTTATGGAAGACTTTCCTAATAGATGTGGCAGATGTCATAAAACAAATCTCTAAGTTAAAAATTATATTTTGAGGAACCAGTGTTTATAGGTAATAAAAAAAAGGCAATCTCCATTAAAAAGATACAGATTTTCTAAAAACACAGAAAACCACCAGGGAACTGCAAATTATTTTTCTTTCTCCACAAGCTACATGTTTACAGCATGAGTCATGTATCAAAAGAAACCACACAAGTCTGAACAAGTGAAGGATCGAGCTCCGGGCATGTATTTATTTACAGAAGGCTCAAGGAGTTATTTCTGCTTTGGAGTCACAGATGACCCATAGTCAGACACCTTGTTGCCATGGAAATCTCACACTATCACTCTCTGCCTTGTTCTCATTCAAGATCCTCCTTTGCATCCCTGGTGATCCCTGCCTGTCACAGCTCCCATGGGTCCCTCAGCTTGGGCAGGCAGCAGCTGCTGGCAGGACTGGAGCACATTTAACCCTGTCTGGCACTTCCAGTCATAGGAAGGTCCAGAAAGTGAATCTTTAGGTTTATGATACTTTACGGAACATTTTTTGCCACCTTACATTCTATTGCACAGAGATATCTCTAAAGTTGTGTCTTATTACTTAATTAGTGTTACAAAGAAGTAAACACAGAAACTAGTGCCCTTCTGTGCTGCTGAGATAGTAGGAAGCCCTAGCCAATTAAAAAGAATTTGTTCCCAGAGAAAGGAAAGAGAAACAACAACCTATGTCTGCTCCTTTTCATGGGCAAGCTATTCACTGAGCCAATTCAGTGACAGAGGTCATAAGGTGCATCCAAAACAACAACATAAAAACAACATAAAACCAAAAAAACCCCACACACCAATCCCCCAAAAATCTGAAAGACAGAGGGAAGCACATACTGCACATGAGCACAGTCATAGAATCTCCTGAGTTTGAAGGGACATGTATGGTTTAGAGTCCAACCCCCTGTTCCTTGCAGGACTACCTAAAACTAAACGATGTAGGCAAGAGAGCTACCACTCCTTGTATTCTGACAGGCTTGGTGCCATAACCACTTCCCTGAGAAGACTGTACTAGTGACAACCAGCATCTCAGTGAAGTACCTTTTCCTAACAGAATCACAAAGGAAGAATCATAGAATGGATTGAGTTAGAGGGAACCCTTAAAGTTAACCTAGTGCAACCCCTCTAAAATGAGCAGGGACATTTTCTATTAGATTGGGTTGCCCAGAGCCCATCTACCTCCTCTCTGGGCAACCTGTTCCAATGTTTCACCATCCTCAGTGAAAATACATTTCTTCCTTATATCTAGTCTAATTCTACTCTCTTGTAGTTTACAACAATTACATCTCGTCCTATTGCTACAGGCCCTACTAAAAAGTTTGTTCTTCTAAGTCCCCTTTAATTATTGAAAACTAAAAGAATGTCACCCTGGAGCCTTCTTTTCTCCATGCTTAACACCACCAGCTCTCTCAGCCTTTCCTTCTAGGAGATTTGTTCTATTCCCCTGATTCCCATCTGCCTGATAAACTTCATGGCCCTCCTCTGGACCCATTCTAATAGGTCTATGTCTTTCCTGTGATAAGGACTCAAGGTGGGATCTCACCAGAATGGAGTAGAGGGGCAGAATCACCACCCTAGACCTGCTGTACACACTTCTTTTGATGCAGCCCAAAATATGGTTGGTTTTCTGGGCTGCGAGAGCACATTGATGGTTCATGTCCAGCTCTTTGTCTGCCAGTAACCCCAGGTCCCTCTCCACAGGGCTCCTCTTCAGACTGTATTGATACTGGGGAGTGCCTTGATCCAGGTCCAGCACTTTTCACTTGGCCTTATTGAACTTCATGAGGTTCCCACGGGCTCACTCCTCACTTGGGCCCGTGTGAACCCAATAGGAAGGATGGTTTTCAGATTCCCATTCTCCTGATATTGGGAACTGTGGAGAGCTCTTTCAATCCCCACTGGTGGCCACAGCCCACAGAACCTAAACATGCTCACCAGGAAGCTCTGCACCAGCAACAGTCACACCAGTCAAGCTGAAGTAGCACAGAGCAGCCTCATGCTTTCTATCCAGAGGGCTGTTCTATACACCCTCACTGCTGGCTGGCTGGCTGCTTCCTATGTGCTGCCCCAGCCTAAAGCAACAGAAGAACTTCAGATGCTTTTTTGCATCATCTCTGCAGTTGCAAGTCTCTGCATAATGAGAAATATGGCTTTCAGAAGATAGGAACAAGGGCCTAAAGTAAGTTAGAAAATATAGGACTCAGAATGCTTATTGGAAGAAATATGGAACTGGACTTCATTATATCATCCAAACAGATACATGGCATTAAAAGCACTTCCATTGACGTGACCCAGTTGCAGACACTGACCTTTGGTGGTATTTGAAAACATTAAAAACCAAAAATTCCTAGTGATTATTCTTCATACAAGTACACAACTGCTTTTCCAGAAAGATATCTCAATTTTACCTAGCCTTTAAGCATTAGAACTGCATCCTATCAAGACCATCCTATCCCATCCCAACCCATCCCATCCCATCTGAAGCAATTTCAGTATGAGACCATTAGCATCATAGTGTAATTGAAGGAAAAAAAAAGTTATGACATTTCCAAGTCAGCTCTAGGCAAAAACGTTTGCAGAAAACACCCTCTCACTACTGCCCAGTGCTGCTATTCACCTTTTAGTCTCCTCTGTGGCCTCAGGAGAGAAAGCTGAAAGCGTTACTGACACTTTTACAGCTTGTGAAATTTAAATAGCTCTCTTTCTGTTTAAGATTGAAGGGGATTTTTAGTAGTAGTAGTAGTCCCAGTACTGAAAATTAGCCCCTTCCAATTAAGGTTTCAACAAGAAGTAATGTCTTCCTTCAGGGAATACATTGACATTTTAAATTAAGAAACATTCCAGCTAACAAGCCTATAAATCTTCCCAATTAACTGTATTCTCTGCTAGTTTATGAGTCTTCTGTTCAATTTGACAATCCTAATCTCTCATGGGGTGCAGGAAAGGATAAGACCTCTGTGGAAATTATCCTCTTCCACTACAAGAAGAGGAAAGCAGAGACACCCTCACTGACTATATTTTTATTTGACAGATCTGAGTCACATGGCAACTCAAAGCCCAGATACTCTTCATTGCTGTCAAGTAAAAAGGTTTTCAGTCAACCAATAGCCTCTGTGACACATTTCTCATTATCTGTAAGGAAACTCTGTCAGCACCATTAGAAACACAGCACCACGTGACTCTCCCACAGGAGCATTTTGCACACTTTTCCATGGATTATCCTTTTACCAATCAAAGCTTTCAGGGAACAAAGTCAGGGTTTGTTCTAGGAGGCAGTGTCATGCAGTGGTGATTGGTTGTGCTAGATGAGGTAGGCTGGAGGAGAAAGCTAGCGCCTTTCAACAGTATTAAATGTACACCTTTCAACAGTATTAAATATAACTTTTCTTTCTGTTATAAAGATGGGTTTATTTCCTTCTAATATGTTGCAAGGGTAGCTGAAAAGAACAGCTAAATAGGAGATATAAAAGAGACATCTGAAAAAGTCATAAACAGTGAGCAATACAAGCAAAGAGCATGGGAGACAACATCCACTGCTCTCCCCTCATCTACCAAGCCAGTCATTCCATCATGGAAGGCTATCAGATTGGTCAGGCATGATTTCCCCTTGATGCATCCATGTTGACTACTCTCAGTAACTTTCTTTTGCTCTACATGCTTAGAGATGACATCCAGGATGGGTTATTCCATCACCTTTCCAGGAACACAGGTGAGGCTGACAGGTCTGTAGTTTCCTGGATCCTCCTTCTTGCCCTTTTTGAAGACTGGAGTGACATGGGTTTTCCTCCAGTCTTCAGGCACCCCTTCTGTTCTCCATGATCTTTCAAAAATGATTAAGAGTGGCTTAGCAATAACGTCTGCCAATTCCATCAGAACTCCTGGGTGTATCCCATTGGAGCACATAGATTTGTGGGTGTCACGTCTGCCTAACTGATCTATAATCCCATCTTCCTCAACCAATGGAACATCTGCCTTTCTCCAGACTTTCACCCTTACCTCCACAGTCTGGGATTCCTGAGGGCTGGCCACAGCAGTAAAGACTGAGGCAATAGAAGGCATCCAGTAACTCTGCCTTCGCCATATCCTTTGTCACCAGGCCACCCACCTCATTCAGTAGGAGGCTCTCATTTCACCTAGTCTGTTGTCCTAGATATGGCTTCCTCATCACATCCCTGCATACCCTGACAACATTCCTGTATTTCTCCCAAGTGATCTGCCTCTTTTTCCACATTTTGTACACTGTCTTTGCCAGGATCACCTCACTGATCCATGCAGGTCTTCTGCCCCCTTTTCTTGATTTCTTACTCATAGGGATGCACCAATCTTGAGCTTGAAGGAAGTGATGCTTGAGTATTAACCATCTC